GCCATATAACAGGAGGATTGCTGGTCCAGATGCAATGAAATGCTGTGAGGCCATTCTGCACACCCACAATAAAGTTTCTGATTTTCCTCTCCCCACCTCTGCCCTACCTTCCTTTCCTCCTCGTCTAAGATCTTTCCACTCCTCCCTTCAGCGACTTACTTCAGCCCTCCCTGTTCCCAAACCGCCTGGATGACCTTGCACACGCTCCGTGTCGGTGCTAGGCAGGAAAAGCTATCTAGCAGATGTACGACACCTCATCTCATACAGGGAAAATTGCTGTGTGAAATAAATACCAGGCCATCGCTCACTCCTGCGAGTACACACACGCGCGCCTGGAGCCCTTCTGTGTACTCCAGAGCAGAAAGCAGAGCTCAAGTTATGGACCTACAATATTCACATTACTGAGTTCTAGCAGCCAGGAACACAACTAGTCCAGAGGACTGTCTCCTAGCCAGAAGACTCTGGGCCAACTACAGCAGTCCACAGCTTTGTACCTGCTCCAGAACCAGGCCCTCATCTTTAGTCAACCCTGACCTCAGGCCTCTCTGAAGGTGGGCAGGAAAAGGATTCACTACAGTGTCTCATTATCATTATTATTCCAACCTATGTTTCATATCAACCTTAAAGAAACAGTTTTGACATTGTGAAAAATATATTTAATCCTTTCCTGATAATAGAGTGAAAAGATCAACAGCAAAGATCAAAGGTCAACTGTCTCAAGGAGTCAGCGACATATATGTCGTCCAGGACAAGATCTTAGTTGCTGTTTAGATGATGTGTGAGCTGACGTTATCGAGTATGTCACCCACTTTACAAAAACAATCAAAGACTGCCTCGTGAAGCAAAGCAGGACAGCCTACTGCACATACGCATCCAGAGCGCACGCATGTCGAAAATCAGTTGCTATAAAGACAACTTGACAGCTTGTCTCACCACCTGCGAACTAACCAATGCACAGAATATGAATATGAAAATCTTCGAGTCAGCTGTCGACAACAGGACTAAACCAGCCAAGGTACAGGTACAAAAACCCCCTCGGCAAACTTTAGCAGACTCATTCTGCAAAAGTGATTTCAAGGTTTTACTTTGATGCTTCAGTTTTACATAAATAAGACATTTTTCTTAAATATGTTGTTTCCATTAATATCATTAGCAAGAAGCAACAATTAATATCCTATAATATCCTATTAACAAGAGCAGCCTTGTAAAATACAAGGTAACATTTAAATACATTTTTGAAGGATGCAGAATATCGTCTCTTTATTGTTATCAACAAATCACAGAAAACATCCAGTTATCATTTTTGTCAATATGGCACCTATCTGTCTCCACAGTAAATAAAAAGCTACACATCTCCATAGGTCCAAAGGTAACAAAATTGCCTACCGGCACCTTTAGATCTCACTAATTACTCATAATATCTCATTTGCTTACTCAGTAAAAGAAAAGTGTCTAAAAATGAGAAGTTACACTGTTACATGGAGGTATGTGGCAAGCTCTTTCTTCCTCAAAACATCAAACTATGGAGTCATCAATATTGGATAAAAACTGAAAGTTTAAACAGAAATTACAATAATATTACAATTTTAGCTTGGATTTTCTAAATGTGGTCCCCAACTGTTTGTCTAGGCCAAAACTAGAACTAAGCACCCATTCTGGACTCATCTGGGTCTCTGTAGCTCCAGGGTGGCTGAGACGGCCCTCTGGACTCTGGTCGACTAGCCTAGCATGCCGGGTGGTGTGTTTACTGTGCTGTGCACCTCCTCTGGGGTAAAGACTGATAATTAGAGGTCTCACTCTCTTAAGAGTCATGAGAGCAGTGCAGTGATGAAGCTGCTCCTGTGTTAGCGGGGCTAAACCCTGACGCTAGCACTCTGCCCTGCTAACTCAACACACGTCTGAAATATTAATGAGGAAAATGTTAGCGTTCGTGTGTGCGCACTGTGCAGTATGTGCTCACCTATCTGAGTGCATGCATATGTGTGTGAATCCCCAACAATGAATGAGCTTCTCTTTGATGACCCTAGTGGTGGATTTGTCACACCTGCCATCCCTCCATGTCTTCCAACAATGCTTTTAAAGCTAACTTTTAAGTGACAGAATGACTGACTGAGCCACACACATTTAACCCCTGCTGCAGCCGCCCATGAAAGCCCAGCTCTACGGCGCTCCATCGAGCTCACCTAAAGACGTGCCTGTGATCCGGCTGTGATGAGAAGCCATGTTGTCTTTGGTGGGTTAGGTATACATCAGATAACTGTACACTGCTGCCATGCTCCACTCTGCTCTCCCCCCAACGGACAAGGGTCTGACACACCCTGCCGTGAACATGCGTTCACTCAAATTTGCACATACATACACTCAATCAACCTCACACACGCTCGCTTGCTTGCGCACACACACACATACACACACAGCCTGATATGCCTGTTCACATCAAAGAGAATAAACATTAATGGCAAATAGGTAATCTGCTCCTCTTGTCTGTTTTACATTTCAGGGTGAGATTGACTGCCTCTGGGGGACCTGGCCCTTCTCTGATTGAGCCCGGGAAAAAAAGGAGAGAGAGGGGAGAGGGAGGAAGCAACGATGGATGGTAAACATGATAGAGCATTATTCTTATTTCATGTATTTCTTTATTTTTTATTTATACACAGAGATTGAAAAGAAGGTAATAACACCCCCCTTCAACCAGTGACGGCCCTACTATGGTCCTAATCTTCTCCTCTGCGATATTCTGATGCAGCTGCTATTATTCTCATTTCTTCTGAATAATATCCCTCTCTCAAGCACATCTGTTCTCTCAGCCGGTGCTCGCTTTTGTCTTTGCTCTTCATTTTCTTCCTTTACCATGTCCTTGGCTCTCTTAACCTATTCTCTCCACACTTTTCCATTCCCTTCTAAGTAACTTCTTCTGTCTGGTCGGTGCACTCAGTCTCTCTCCACTCTTTCTTATTGTGAAGGTCGTGGCGGGTTGGTGTGGTCGGGAGCACCTCATATCCTATCTGCGTATCAATCATGAGGTCCTGTCCACTCAATCCTCCTCTGATCCATCAGCCAGCCTCTCAGCCAGCTCAGGCAGCCTCTTCCACACACACACACACACACACATCACTGACTAATGGCAGTCAGGGCAGCTGTGCACAGTGCACACCAACCTGTTTTCATTCCACAACTCCAGCAGGTGTAGAATATGCAGTATCTTACAGCAGAGCTGTACAGTACATGGTTATAATGCTGTAACTGCTCCTAGTACTGCAGAAAACCCTTAAAATACTAAATACAAGATATTAATCTACTAGAAATTAGCTCTATTATCAGTTAATCAATTCATTTGATTAATCATTTGGCCTGTAAAATGACAGGAAATGTCTATCTCAGTTTCCATAGTCCAAGTTGATGCCTTAAAATTGCTTGCACCACACAGTCAAACAGATTCACTTCACTCTATCACAACACAAAGAAATAGAGCCAAATGTTCACACTTCAGAAACAGAACCAGAGAAATGTTTGGCATTTTTGTTTAAAGAAAAAACTCTGAAATGATTTACCAATTAACAAAATTGCTACTGATTATTTTTCTGTTGATTGACTAATTAATGAATCATTATCATCTAAGCTCTAGTCTCCTCTATTAGGTGACACCACGCTGGATTGTTCTCTTGTTCATGTGGTCTCCGATGACAAAGTGTTGCACTTTGCAGCTGCCATTACATAAATGCATAAATTTATCATCAGTGCCATCATTTTGCACATCCCCACCTCTAACACCGCCTCCATCTCTTAACACCCCACCACAAACCCTCCGCCAACCAACATCAGCCCAACCCACCTGCTCCTCGCTTACTGCTAAGCCGATTACACAATGCAAACCTGCTAATCACAGCACAGCATTTGTAAACACCGATGTCATCAAACATAGTTCTAAATCTCCCAAATCCCCTCCACCTTTCATCTCACACCACACTAGCAACGCCATTGTCGACCAGTGTTTTAATCACTAGTGCCACCGTAGCACAGCGGGGTACAGAGAGAGAATGTGTGAAAACTGTTTGGCCAAATTCTCTCAATTAACTGTTTCAGCGCAACACTGAAATGTGTTACTCGTTGTGAAGACACAAAGGGTTCTGTGGACATTATGTCAGAGAGTTGCATTGCAGGGTCCCTTCATCCTGGCAGGTCTGTAATAGCAATTAAAAAATTAAAAACTCCTTTTCCTCTGTGATTAAAATGATCTCTTCCCCTGCAACCATACACAAGTAAACAAAAGTCATTGCTTGTGCATATATTATAACAACCTTTTATTTCACTGTACATCTGTGAGTGTTTCTGTGTGTGTAAGAAAGCAGCAGCACAGTTTACTGGTTCATTAGCACCAGATTAGCTATGCTAATGACATGGAGCACCACACACGGAGACTTTGCCTTTATGTTTCTGAAAAGAATACACGACTGACTATGTCTCTGTCTGTGTGTGTGTGTGTGTACGTGTGTGTAAGCGTGTGTGTACGTGTGTAAGAAAGAGAGTAGTGTGGTGCAGGTGTGTATATATGTGTGTACGAAAGAGAGTAGTGTGGTGCAGGTGTGTACACATGAATCTTGCATGAAGTAAACACAAAACCATGTGTTTGTTTGCACTACAGTAAACTTCCAAAATCCTTATTACTTCTTTAATAAGAAAAGCCTGCAGTGGCTTTCCACTTGTACTGATCTATAATACAAACACCCAACAAATGTGTCACAGTGAATTTTTTGACACTTCTAAGTAATGCTGTCATCGCTCCTTTTCATCGTGCGCCATACAGCTGTCTCCACAAATAATGAACATATGGGTAAAAACTGTGATAAATACATATTTATTAAGAAAGTATCATTTTTACTATCATGATCAATATCATGCACTGAGGCAAAACTGTTGCAACAACTCTGAAAGTTGCATTCAAGATTAATCTAAACCAGACTCTGTCAGTACAATTACAATACCAAACCAAGAAACCATTTGTGTTGGTGACTGGCCAATACATGACCAAATGCAAACGTCCATTTGTGCAGCATGAACATGAATGCGCCCCTGGACGTGTCTGTGATGTCGTTACCTCCTGTCTCGGCTGCGTGACCTGTGTGAGCGGTGGCTCCTCCCTTTGTCTCTGTCTGCACTGCGACTCCTCCTCCTGCGAGACGAACTGTGGGATGAGCTGCTGCTGGAACGTCGTCTTCTCCTGGTCGCAGGCCAAAAACACAGAGATTTCACTCTATTTGGCAGGATTTTTAAAACATCCATCCAACAGCAGAGTTCCTGATTATACAATTAATCATTGTGCAGTATTGGTAAATCAGCAATGGTGAAACGTAAACAGGTTCTAAAAGCCCAACGTGTTAATAGTAATTATAATTTTACCACAGCCATTCAGTTTCATTGTATCATTTCTCTTAGTTTATTCTCCATAAAACCAGAAGCAAAATTAAATGCCCCCTCATACTATACACCTTAAATCAGCTCCCACCTCATTTCACCCTTAATATACTCCATTGTGCCATGACAAGCACCATTTCTCTTATTCTCTGCTCATTCATGTTACTAAATTCTTCCCTCTTCTCCTAATTTGTTCCTAAATTGTTTTGTTGTTCAGTTCAAGAACAGTCCAGATGTCCCAAAAATCTCACCTATTATCAGCAGTGCTGACAGCTACTCTCCATCAGTGAACAAGCACATCTGAGGCCCAAAGCAGCAGAGCCATGCAGGCTGCCCTACAGTTCCTCCACAGGGGCCCTTTGGTGCTTTGCTGCTCTCTAATGTGGCTACAGGAGTGTGCGTAGCATCTATTTTCTAAACACCACTCACACCATGTTCCTATTGATCATGAAGCAGGAGGCATTCATGGGGGCGAATGTAAATGCAGAAATCCCCCTCTTCTATTATGCAAACAGTTTGAGCAATATCCATTATTTAAAGTCTCTTCTTTTGTTTCATCAGTGCCAAAAATATCCAAATCTTTTTAGCACACCCATAAAACACACACATACACGGTCCTATGGGAGCATTGTGAGATAGAGAAGAGAAGAAAAAAGAAAGAAATACAAATAACACAGGCTGAACTATCAAACCAGATTTGTACCACTTAGAGTAGCACAGCAAAGATCCATTAGTATTCTAAAGGCTGAATCCCATGAGCAGGGCCTTATGAAATAACTTCCGCAGCCCTCGTACAAGCACTTCACACATTACACAGAAGAGCTGTACAGTAGTGCGCTGAGGGTTCTGGAAGGTGCTGTTAGCTCACACATTTCCACAGAAGCCTGCGCAAATGTAATGTAATAAAACATAATGGCTCAAACACATGCGAGTGCAAGCTGGTTAGAACAGAAGCCTCTCACATGAATACACCTAACAGCTTACACACATGCACTTTTTTTCCCTGTCTTGTTCACACACATAGCCACAGACACATTTTTCTCTCTTTACACATGCATGTTCATTACACGACTGTGATGCCTTTCACCAAGAGCAGAATCACTCTTATGTTTGACCACATGTGAGCTCTTTCTTCACAGTTTGTTTGTATGCAGGCTGAAAATGCTAAAGAATGCCCTAGCCCATATGAGCCCACTAAAGAAACCAGTTTTACACAGACACATACACACAAGGTCTTGGTTAATTGATCAACTTTGTGTAGCTAACAGATGTGGGACTGTGGTCCCGGGGTTTACAGTGCCCACCCGGCCCCACCCTGAACAGACAGGTAATGACTTCCCATCAGCAGTAATGGACCTTGACCAAGCCTCATAAATAATTACCATCAATGGCCTTGTCTGAACAGCCACACGCAGCCAGTGGC